AAACCCCGTCTCTACTAAAAATACAAAAAATTAGCCAGGCGTGGTGGCACGCGCCTGTAGTCCCAGCTACTCGGGAGGCTGAGGCAGGAGAATGGCGTGAACCTGGGAGGTGGAGCTTGCAGTGAGCCGAGATCCTGCCACTGCACTCCAGCCTGGGCGACAGAGCAAGACTCCATCTCAAATAAATAAATAAATAAATTAATTAATTAATTAAATACAAAAACAAAATTAGCTGGGCGTGGTGGCAGGCGCCTCTAGTCCCAGCTACTCAGGAGGCTGAGGTGGGAGAATGGCGGAAACCCAGGAGGCGGAGCTTGCAGTGAGCCGAGATCGCACCACTGCACTCCAGCCTGGGCGACAGAGCGAGAGTCCGTCTCAAACAAACAAACAAACAAAAAAAACAACTGTTTAGAAAGCCTTGCAGTTAAATGTTTACGAACTTTGTATGACCACAGAACTTTTTTTTGGCCCATATAATGGCTTTCAACATTCTGAGGAACAAGTGTTCAGAAGAATACACTTTGAGAAACATTAATCTAGATGTGTGGTCCTGAGGAAAAGTTGTATCTATTCATTCTGGAAGCTTTTGTATACAGTATGGGGCCTGTGGCATTCTAGAGAACATTGAACATTACTCCTACCATCACCACACAATAGAACCTGATTTTCTGTCATTGGAATAAGTGGAAAATAGGTTCCATACTGTGGGTTTTGAGAAGGGTAAAGATGGGGCATAAGGGTAGAGAATCATGCTGAGAGAAGGTGTCCATTCCTTTAGGTGGAATTACTTTCTGAGACAGGAACTGTTAATGTCCTGTTTACTGAAATTTCTTTTTTCTTTTTTGCTTTGTCCATAGATGTGGGACCTAGGAAAAGGCCTGAAGATTCCCCAGCTATACCAGTCTGGAGTGGTTGTCCTGGTTCTTACTGTGTTGTCCTCTATGGGGCTGGCAGCCATGTGAAGAACGGAGGTTCCCAGCATCATCTTCCTACACCTTATTACATTCATCCATCTTTCTGTTTTTCATTCTTATCTCCAGCCTGGAAAAAGTTCTCCTTATTTGTTTAGGTCCTTTTGTACTTTCAGATCCCGTTGGAGCAGTAGAGTACCTTGTAGACCATAATAGTGGAAAAGGGTCTAGTTTTCCCCTTGTTTCTAAAGATGGGGTGGCTGCAAAAACTCCCCTTTTTTTGCCCACAGCTTGCCAACTCTAGAAGCAGTTATTCTGTCTGCATATTGGGCTTTGATTTGTGCTGAGGGTCAGCTTTTGGCTCCTTCTTCCTGAGACAGTGGAAACAATGCCAGCTCTGTGGCTTCTGCCCTGGGGACTGGGGGTGAGGCTTTGGGTGCCACTGCCTGTGGGTTGCTGGCTTAAAGGACAATTCTGTTCATTGGTGAGAGCCCAGGCCATTAACACCTACGCAGTGTTATTGAAAGAAGAGAGGTGGGGGTGGAGGGGAATTAGTCTGTCCCAGTTAGAGGGAGATAAAGAGGGCTAGTTAGTTCTTGGAGCAGCTGCTTTTGAGGAGAAAATATATAGCTTTTGACACAAGAAGATCCAGAAAATTATTGAACATATTAATGGTTATTTCTTTTTCTTTTTCTTGGATTTCCGGAAAAGCCTCTTAGTTTTATGCTTTCTCATCAAAGTCATGTACCCTTTTTTTCTGAAACTGAATTAAAATACTCATTTTATCTTTGACTCTCCTTGAAATCTAGAGAAACCAAGAAAATGGCTGTTGGGAAGGAACCAATTTCCTCCTCTTCCCTCGGGTCTCAGGCATTTACATCCTCCCTCTCCCTACAATCTGACCTTTCCCAGGAGGGAAACAGTTTTCCTATATCTCATCATTGGAGGAGTTTTCAGGGAATCAGATAGAACTTAGCCAGATATTTAAATATCACAGAGAAGCCTCAGAGAAGGAAGGAGGAAAAGAAAAGAAGTGGTGCATGTAGAGTGCTTTTGGGTTATAGGCACCAAAATCCCATTAAGGACTGATTATAAGCTTCATGGGACAGTTCAGCAAATTATGATTCAGTGAGGGGCACAGAGGACCAGTGTTGGTGACAGCTAAGGGATGATGACCTGAAGTTATAGGCTTAGGGTAGATGAAGAATAGAGATTTTTTAAAAAAGAAGGGATTGTTGAAAACCTGGCAAAAATGTATAATTTAATGAGAAAACTTGATGCTTTTAAAAATGCAAATAGGCCAGGCTTTACCAGGCATGCTGTTTTGATAGTTTTTGGGAACTCTGGAGTAAGAGACCTATCTCGTCTGTCACTTTGAGTTGCTGGCCAGCCGGTTAAAGCCATGGGTCGAAGAGGGGAAATGGTAACTGGCTGGTGTCAATTGGATAGGAAGACCATAGTTAAGGTGGGGACCTGCTCTTTTAACAGTCTTCATTCAGGGTCCCAAATAGTATTTGGCTTTAAGTAATGATTGCTTTTCCCTTTTTACTAGAGGGGTCCTGGGAAGTCCTTGTACCTTTCCTCCATTTTAAACCAGCTGTTCTCTACTTTGTCCTTGGAATGAGGGACAAGTGATCATGAGAGAACACTTTGTCATTGGTATGGGGAAAGGTTTGGCAAGGGCATTGAATTTAACAGCCAGTGCCAGGAAAATGTAAAATGGGGTCAATGACAAACAGATGTTACAGGCTGGAAAATGGGTAGGGCAGTTGAATTTTTTGGTGGTTTCCTACCATTTGGGTGATTGAAGCATGGTAGTGGGTGGGTGGAGGGTGTGACAGCGTCATGTTTGTTATTCTGCCTTAAATTTCTACTTACCATCTTTCTTTGTCTGTCTTCCAATCACTTTAATATCTTCAATTTTCAAACTATATTTGTACTTGGGCTTAGATAGGAAGTCTTACAAAAGCATAGTATCTTCTACTTTGGTTTTCCCTACCTTTTCTTCCCCACCTTCTCCAAACACACATATACATACTCTACTCAACAATTCTACTTCTGATTTTGTAGTTGTTAGTTGTGCATGCTCAGGATAAAAAATAAGTGGATAGGGTTGAGGGACTGGTTCTTTGAGGTTCTACCCTTTTTCCATGATTCAGACCAACCTTCTCTTGGTCATTTCTGGAGTATAACTGACTCAATTCTTGTAAAAATGTGTTCCACCCAAACCACTGTATGTTCTTTTCCCTACTTTATTTTCCCCCACCTTCCTTCTCCTAATTGGGTTACAAGAGGCAGCCATAGCAAGAGTGGAAAATCCAGATTCGTAAAAGATTCAACAAAAAAAGTTTATTTTCCAAATTTGTTTTTACTCCCTCCCCAAAATTTCCCTGTTTCACAGTTCTGACTGGGGGCTCTTGTTTATTTCACTCGGTCGCTATACAGGTTTTTCAGTATGTGGCCACTTGGTCCATATGAAATTCCAGGTTTGTATTTCTGGACCTCAGCTAGATTAGGCCCTGCCCAGAGTTCTAGCATACGTGGACTTCCAGGTGGGCTCTTAGGATTTGGCTGGGCTTTGGGGACCTGGAGTATGACCTGCAGAGGGGTGTGAGCTTCGGAGTTCATCTGGGGAATTGAGGTTGGCAGCTGGGGAGCTTGGAATTATGGTTGGACTTAGTGCTTGTTGTACAGTCTTTGTGATAGACGACTTCCTGAGTTTCTTCTGACTGTCTGGATCATGGGGCTGTCAGTGATAGAGTGGAAGAGACAGTCATGTCTCTGGTCGGGCCCGGATCATTCCCAGTGCACCTCAGGATTCTAACTCCCTTTCTCCCCATACCATGGGCAGTAGATCAAGTTTCAAATAAGGAAAGTTAAATTTGATTTCTCTAACCACCCTCCCCCACCTTGAGATTAGATCATTTTCTACTGTTGGGGGTGAGATGTCCTTAGCCCATCCCTTCAGGCCTCAGAAGGTGATTAGGGACTAGTCAGGATAAGATGAATTGGTTAGAGGTCTCCCCTGTTGGGTTAGTGGTGGCATAACAGCAGACATTTTTTGAAGTTGAAAAGAAATTGAGACAACAGGGTTTTGGATTAGATGGGAAGAATAGATACCTTGCCTAAGATTTCAGGACACAGCCCATTGGAGGCCTTGAGTAAATCAGAATTTTTCTGTATCCATTTGGTGAGGGAGGCAGCACCAGCAGTTGTACGGGAGGTCAGGGTCACCCGAGCAGGGGGTATCTTCAGAGGCATTTGCCAGGTGCCCATGAAGGAACCCCAAGGATTTGCCTGAAAATGAAAAGGAATTCCTCAATAGGGCTTCTCACTCCTGGTAACTGACTTAGACCTCTGTTAGTCTTATTTCCATTCTTTAGGAATGCATGGTTATGAAATAAGACTGAAAGCATAATCTTCCTACCCTTCCTTATTCCCCTCCCTCATTTAGGCTTTGCAGGCCTAATTTTTTCATCCCCTTTACTCTGCCGACTTAAATTCCGCATCCTTAGGCTGAGTGTGGCAAAGGAGTACCCACTGCACAAATGTCATCACCTGAAGGCTTTCTTTTATACAGATCATTGATCAATTTAAGAACTTCTGAAAGGTGCTAAACACAACTCTATCCTGTTGGGTAAGCTGGCCGGAAGTTCAAGGGCTCTTACATTACAACATGAATTAGATTAAACTTTAATTTTCCTGATAATGGCTGTGAGAGACTGCACATCTCCCAGTTCTGTGCCTCAATTATTTGCCTTTCTTGATAGGAATGAAGATAGTATCTCACCTTGGAACGGGGCACAGAAGGCAGTAGATGACCACGATCATTGGCAATAATTTGAGTGTAGCCTTCATGAGAAGAGATGCTCTGGGGTACAAGTGGGAGAGATAAATGTTTCTGAGTGGGAAAAAAAAGGAGTATTTGGGGAGCTTGGTCAGAGAAGGATATGGGAGTTTAGAGAAGGCTAAAAGGAGTTAATTGACAGGGAGAGCAAGAGGCTATCTTGTAGGTGCACTGAACATGGAATACCTCTTTTGTTGGCTTAGCCGGAGACCAGTTCTGCAGATACTTGGATGAGAAAGCCTTTTCATACTGTGGAGAGAAAGATAAGTATCCCTGTGAGACTTCAAGGCCCCAAACCCAGGAAATGATGACTAGGCACAATTCTTTAGATTTGAAGACCAAAGGCCTGACCAACCATGTAGGCTTTAAGTCACTATGACAAGGGTGTAATCTGTTTGGTCTAGATGTGTGCTGTTCAGCATGGAGCCAGTAGCCACATGGAGCTGTTGAACACCTGAAATATGACTAGTTCAAATTGAGGTGCTTTATAAATATGAAATATGCTGAATTTTGAAGTTTTGTCTTTTTCTTTCTTTTTCTTTTTTTTTTTTTTGAGACAGGATCTTGGTCTGCCACCTGGGTTGGCGTCAGTGGCACGACCCTAGCTCACTGCAGCCTTGGACACCTGGGTTCAAGCGATCCTCCTCCCTTAGACTCACAAGTAGCTGGGACTACAGGTGCATGTCACCATGCCCAGCTAATTTTTTAATTTACTTGTAGAGATGAGGTTTCACCATATTGCCCAGGGTGGTCTCAAACTTCTGGCCTCAAGTGATCCTTCTGCCTCAGTCTCCCAAAGTGTTGGGATTATGGACGCAAGCTACAACATCCAGCAGGTTTTGAAGATTTAGTACAAAAAAAGAATGTAAAATGTCTGATTATAATTTTTAAAATACTGATTAAATGTTGAAATAATATTTAGATTTATCGGGTTAAATTCAATATATTTAAATTTTATGTTTTAAGTTTTTCATGTAGCTACTAGAAAATTTAAAATTACATTTGTGGCTCGCACTCTTTTTGTTGGGCAGCACTGGTCTAGATCAGGAGTTGGTGAACTATGGCCTATGGGCCATATCCATATTGCTGCCTGTTTGGGGATGGCCTGAGAGTAAGGACGATTTTTATAGATGAACATTTACAATTGATTCAGTAAAATGGAACACTAACTTTGAATCCCAGTTAAGTGAAATGTTTTCTCAACCCCCAAAATTCCATTATTTTCATTAGTAGTACAAAAAATTGTACTCAGTTATATTTTGAATTTGTCAAAAATTTTATGGAAAAATGTTTTTCTTTAATTATATAAGTAGCTATAGAATATTTTTGACTTTGCCACTTGGCCTAAGCCTAAAATTTTTACGCTCTGCCCTTTTACAGAAAAAAAAAATTGCCAACTTCTGGTTTACACCCTACAAATTTAACCCAGAAATACCTTTGGATCGCCCCTGGGCTCTATCCCTGAGGAGGTAAAATATTTTCTCACTCCACTCTCAGCTATCTGTTCAAAGATCAGAATCCTATGAGAGGGGACAGTCCAAAGATAGAATCTGAAAAACAAAAGTAAACTTTAAAGAAATGGAGAATGGGAACTTACCTGGTTGGCACTGTAGTTAGTGGCCATGATCTTGTGCTGTTTACACTCATTGCTTGGCAACTGCAGAAGGCCGACCTCCTGGGACTACCTGCCAATCAGCAGAGGCTGCCTTTCCCTTCTGCTTATTATTATTCATTTCCTTGGTTCACACTGCCCCCATTTGTTTTCTCTGGAACTTAGATTCATTTTTATTTTAGAGACAGGAAAGACTGGGTAAATATGAGAAAATTAGCTGAATAGTAGCTACTCTTTTTCTGGCATAACCTACCCCTGCTTAAGAACTTCCACGTGGCCTTTGATTGGGGTTTTTAACCACTTTAACAAACGATGTAACCCTGAGAGCTATGTTTGTTGGACAACATGGTGTAATGTACCACAGGATGCAGAGCCAGATACTGGAGTTTGAATCCTTATTCAACATGGGAACATAGGAGCTATATGACAGTAAACAACTGACTTGTCTTCACTAAATTTCTATCAACTCATTTGTATTGTGGAGATTATAGAGCCTGCTTTTACAGGGTAAGTGAGATAAAATGAATAAAGTGTCTTGACAACATCATAGCATAGTAGGTATTCAATACTGGTGAGACCCTGTTTATAAGGCCCTCTACTTTATCAGGCAGAATAAGAAAGGAACAATATTTAAAAAGCAACTAGCTCAAATCTGTCCCCAGAAGGAAAAACATATCCTGTCCTTGGTCCTTAAATAATTTCCTCTGTCACTGTCTTAGAATCACAGCACATAAGAACACAGGTGTTTTGTGTTGACTGGAATAAAATGGAATCGGGTGCTGGTGTAGGGAGATTGAGCAGGAATGAAGAGAGAAAGTCACAGA